ATTATTATTATTATTATTATACTGACAAAGACAAACATTAAGCAGGTATTCAAGGAAACTAAGTGGATTCATATTTATCTTTGTTCTTTAGACAACAAACACCAATACATTTCATAGTTCAAGCTTTATTTTTCAATAATTCATCACGTCAAACCATAGCATCTTACATTGTGTGTAGAAATACTCATATCATAAACACATCATGTACAATGTTTTATTGTTTTGATATGGGCAAGGCAGTAATACAAGAATTAAAGTAAAATAATAATCACGTGGGGGGGAGGGGGGGGGTTTCTTCTCTTTTCACTCAAGAAAGCTTCCATCGTTACGCTCACACAAACCAATCACATCAAACAATTATGCTTTAGTATACAAGCGGTGCGCAGTGTCTTAAACAAACCAGGTGCACTTACAATCTTCAAAATTATGTTTCTCTTTTACACAAAACATGTATATAAAAAAAATATTTTTGCAACCTTATTGCTGAATCTCTTTGCCTTATGCAGTCGTCGTGTTTCCTGCGTGTGTTCTGGTGTGAAAAAAGAGTCAGACACCTTCAGGAAATAAAAGCGTTTACTTGGATTTGTCTATAATAATAAAATAAATTGTTTCTGAATTATTAGTTGTAGTAAAATCTAGAAGGTGTTTAAGAACAGTGTCCTCTTTGGGTATCTACCGACATCACTGATGGGTAAAGCATTATGCATCATAGCTTTGACTGGGTGGTTGAGACAGAGGAAGTAGATTGCCCAAGTACGACTTCCCTCCTATCAGATCTTGACTGCCTCGAAATGCTCCAAAGGAAAGACATGTTCAATGCGTTTGGAATCAATGAAGATATAAGGGTATGCCCTTCTATTTTATAGACGTAATATGGATATTTTTTAGGCAAACTAATGTCCAAGTTTTTTACAACTGTCAACGTCCAATGGATCTTTAACGTGCTCAACGTGCGCATCGGACCTCTGAGATTTTTTCGTTTTTGTTCTTATCCAAGAAGAAAAAGTTTTCAATCTTAACGACAGCGTAATAGATAAGCATACGAAAAATTATGTATTCTGTGATCAGAATTACAATTTGATTTACTCTATCAACTTTGATTGTTGGCTTTGTGATCACAAATCTTTCTCCAAACAGAGTCATGTTGACCTGTGTTCATACTAAAATGTTATGCCTAAATCCTGGTTTTGTAGTAGACAATACACCCAAAGAAACTTGTGCGGTTTTGCAGCTGAACTGGTAGTTAGAAAATGAAATAATAATAACATGCTCACATATCAACATAATATTTGTATGTTTGTCTCTTTATAGTCCTGTCGTTTTCTCTCTTTCCCTCTCTCACTATGTCTCTTTCTCTCTCTCTCTCTCTCTCTCTCTCTCTCTCTCTCTCTCTCGTCTCTTTCATCTTGAAATTGAATATAGGCTCCAGATCTCGTTCCTACCTCTTGTTCTCCACCCTTGGGGCGTTCCATCTTAGGCTATGTCTTGTCACATTGTGGGCTGGCTTCCAAAAAGTGCGCCCGATTTACCGTCACTTTCTTTTCTTGACCTCAAGCTCAATTGGTTGGGAGGGGGGTGGGTGGTCCTTCTTCATAATATATTTCTGTTGGTAGCCGTTAGCAGATTTTCATAATCTTCCAGAGGCTACCACTGATTTAAAAAACTGCAGTTTTCAGTTTCGTTTGTTAATTTCTATGTTTCCGGTCCATACAAAAATACACTTTTCACATTTGTATTGAAAATTCTGGACTTTGGATATCGTCCTGAACGGTCTTGATCTCTACAGGAGAAAGCAACTGTTGAACCGTTCCCTTTGTTTTCACAGTCCCAGTCTTTACATCAGAGACTGTTCCTCGCATGCCATCCAAGGAACTTCCCAGATATGCGAAAAAAAGGTTACTTCTTCTATTTACCCCCTGGTTTACCATTGTGTCCTCTTTCATGTCTTCTTTTTACAGCTGTGTTGATCTTTAGAACCTTTAACTGACATCCAGTATAATTTACTATTTACGCCAAGCACAACGCAAACCCCTTCAAACACAAAATTTAACACCTAGAGTGTGGGGGCCAATTCTCAATTCGTATTTGCCAACCCTTCTATTATGCGGGGGATTCCGCTGCCGACTCCAATTGATGTTATTCTTTGTTTGTGTAAACATGTCACCTGTCGGCACCACCATGGTCGATGGTCGTCGCTGATGCCAGCCTTGTCACTCGTTTCCATTGCTTTAATTGGGTGGTTGGCGGGAGCTCGGGTATAGTTTGCTTTCTTTTTTTCCAATTAAACTCCAGTCGCCATTATATCTCCTTTTCTTTGCATGTTTCTTTTTTAAAACACCTTTAATCTTCAGGACTTACAATGACATGACCTCATTATGTTGCAAGCGACCCCAAACTCTTTCTGAAACTGAATTAAAACCACTGTTCCGAGCGCTTGCCCTACAAAAATCCCCGTACTTCGTACTTTTGGTCCAGCCAGTGGTGACGTGGACATATTAGCTTTCTAAGTATGACTCTCCTACTTCGCCCGGTATTTAAGTAAACACAAGTATCCAATATGGTTGCTTTAACTATCTCGAAGGATAAGTTGCTCCTTTTGCTCATGAAGAACGAGAAACATCAAAGAGAGAAATATAGCAATAAAGATAAAGGCTATGTTACTTGAGTAAAACTTGAGGTGGGTGGTTGGAGTGAGCCACAGGTAGGTCCTTCTTTACTATCCATCTATTGTTTCTGTCTGTCTATCTTACTTTTTCCCCAGCCCTAAACGACCGTTATTTTGTCGATGAGCGGCATCATCATGGTCTTTACTCAAACAAACAAAAAAACAACATTAACAACAACAACAGCAGTAGCAAGAAGAGGACCATCTGTTAAAGTTGACCAATTTTGTCCTCGACAGTGGGTTGTCGTCTTGGATAAGTGCAACAGTACTTTGAGTCTCACTCCTACCTAAGACGTTGTCTAATTTGATTGTAGATGTTAAACGCCCCCCACTGACACAATTTAAATAATTTAGGAGGCGAGCTGCTTCCACTACACTATCGCTCAGGGTCAAACGGGACGGAGTAGGAACTACGTCCCAGCAGAGAGACGGAGTTACTTAAGGGGTTTTTTTTACTTTCATGAACAGGACTAAAGTTTTGTTTTGTTTTTATTTATTTGGTTGCTTTGTATTTTTGCTTTTGTATTGTTGTTGTTCTTTTTTTAGGTTTTTTTTTTTTCTTTTTTGTCTGAGTAAAAAGAATCACATCGACACAATAATGGTCGCTTTGTGCTGGAAAATAAGCAAGACAGAAATACAGAAACAAACAGGGAAAGTAGTGAAGTAGGAGCTACCAGTGACGTCCTCCAACAATACGATAACGGGATTTGAACTCACGTCTTCTGTGTGTGACAGCGTACAGCTAAACCGCTACACCGCATGTGCCGATCGTAGGACATAACTAACTCTAAAGAATAAAGAATAAAAAGGAAAACATCCCAACAACAATCAATGAACGCTTACGCTCTGAACGTGTGTGTTTCACGGGGGCGTGGCACTGCTTAACCCGAGACAACCCCGCAAAATGGCGACATCACGTCAGATTCGTCCACCTTGCCTCCAGAAAAGACGGTTTTATTTGGGCAGGAAACGTGGAAAAAGGAAATGGTGAGGGGGGGGGGGGGATCTTTTAATGTTTTTTTATTTGTAAGAGGGAGGGGGAATACTTTATCCGTCCCTTGTTAGTTACCGTCTGAGTGGAAAAGGCCGTTTAAATAAACGTATCGATTCAGCAAATTTTACGAACAAGATATTTGAGAACCGATTAACCGAAAAAAATCGATTCATATTTGCTTTAAGCCTTTGTGGGTCGATTTACATGTTGCTCGTTCACGGAAAGTAAGCAGGGGCAATAATACGATGACCGGGTACTCGATTCTTTATTGACATCTTATGACATTGTGTACGAGTCCAAATCAATGTGATCGAATGTCGAGAAGCGGTATCACGCTAATGTCCGTTGTCATGCGAGACACAGAACTAGGACAAAGACAAACAGGGTCATGACCTCTTCGGGAAGGCAGAAATTCTTTTTGCATTAATCCACGCAGTTCCTGCAACTACCAGATACTCATTCAAACGCAACCCCCAAAAATAAATAAATAAATAAATAAATAAATAATTAAATAAATAAATAAATAAATAAATAAATAAATAATACCTACATTTAAACTTAGAATCAAATTATGGTGATTAGTTGTCTTCATTTGATGAATTGGCTATTTGCTATTACATGTGTATCTTGCTCCATTTGTTTGTTCTATACACTATGTAGATACTCTGTGTCTGTAAGTCCTGTGGTGCTTGCTCATGGCGTTACCCAGACGTCAAGGCGTTCAACTTGAGTTTCCCCACCCTGGTACCGTGCTAGGCTTGTTTTACGAAGAGTTTGTTTTCCATCGTCATCACTGGTTGCAGAGCAAACTGGGGGTTTATTTACTTGTATTTGTTGTTGTTGTTGTTGTTGTTGTTGCTGTTGATGATGATGATGATGATGATGATGATGATGATGATGATGA